AGTTAATTTTCTATATAGAGATCAGCAAATTCACCACATTATTGTCAAAGGGATTTAAATAAACTTTTTTTTTTCATTTAGTGCTGATAACAAGAATAAGATCACAGCCTCCAAATAAAACATGGTTCAGTTTGACAGAGTCATTTTTTATGCCCGTGTTTATGTTTTCTCATAGTCAAGCCTTCTAAGCCAAGGTGCTGGATGGACGGAAAACCGCTGGTGGGCAGTGATGTCAAGCTGAGCTGTAAATCAAGCGATGGTTCAGACCCCATCAGCTACAAGTGGGAGCGAGTGCTCGACAAAGGCAAAAMTCTGGGCAAGCTGCCAACCCTGGCACTGATAGGTAAGAAAAATAGTCCTAAAAAAAGGAAGAAGAAGAAAGGAAAGATAATTCTACACTACACAGACATGCTGATTCACCATTCAAGCCCTCTGCAGAGAAATGCTGTGAGAATTCATTTTTATATTAGTGGCCTTTTTTATGAGTTCCAGGAAGGGTTTTGCTGAGCACACCACCTTCCCTCCACTTCCCTCCTCATCTTTACCTTCATACATTTGTAAACACTGACACCTAAATCTGCCAAGCTCAACCCCATCCTCCCAGTGCTGATCCTTGTGTCGCTTCTCTACAGTAATTAAAAGTTACAACACTTAGCTCAAGGGCACTTAGATGTGCTCAGTTTTTTTTAATCCGCTTGCCATTAATATGTTTGGACTACTGTGATTCTCTTCCCTTGTGAGCAATAATCCTAGGGCCACAGAAAATATGCACTGTATGTTATTTTCCAGGAAATCAAAAAGAGCATAATCTTGTGATTTGTGACTTGTGTGATTTATTCTGTTGGGATTACTTATATTAATACAAGGAATCGGGCTGACACTGGGATCTGATTTTTCTGAAATGTCATCTGGGCTCAAGTGAATCATTTCCATGRGTGACAACCGAGTGAGTCTCTTCTGAAACTGGGGGGCAAAGTGGAGAAAAATCAAATAAGAAACTGAATGGATTTGAAGCTATTTTATGTATGAACCAAACAAAGCAGGCACGCTTTSCTGATGTGGATTTATGACATATTTCTTTGTAATGCATTGGGCAGTTACCAGTTTAAAGGTAACAGTACCTATCGCCAGTGTGTCTTCAGGCCAGTCTTAAACAGGGAGAGAGAGGTTGTATTGCGTAATCCGTGGGGTAATGAGTTCCAGAACTGCAGAGTCGAGCGGCTGAAAGCTCTGCTCCCCATGGTGCTGAGGCGTGCAGGGGGTGTTGAGAGTTGGAGGGAGGAGGCAGATCTTAAAGAGCGGGAAGGTGTGGAGATGTTTAGGAGGTCGGACAGGTGACACCATCACATAATTTGCATATTTAGACATTTGCCAATAATTGTGATCTGGACTGTAGATGAATTTGAACCATAAAAAGGATAAGAAAGTGAGTAAAAACTGTCTAAATATGTTTAAAACTGCAAATTAACTTAAATAATTGCTAAAACATCTGCATTACATAAATCAATTTTGTTAGAATATCAAATTTAACAAACAGATGTCACAGAGGCACAAGTGGTGAAGGAGGTGAATAAGTGACTGGGACTGTCAATCAAATGCAGCCAGATCCAGGGATTTCTTATTTTTACCAGCAGCTTTGTGTATGCATGATTCATTAGCAGGCAGTGTTTTCGTCTCGAAGCAGCCAGGGTTGCTGCACGAGGCTTTAGTCAGTCGGACTGCTTGTCAGCGCTTTGGAAAGGGGGAGTGTCTCACTGCACCACTTGCTGGTTGGAAATGAAAGTGCTGGTGCCAAGGTCTCCAAAGTCTCTAATAACATTGAAAAAAAAATGTAACATTGTCACTTTTTGGAAAAAAAA